GCGGAACTGAAGACTTCTATAAAGCCCATCCTCTCCTGACTCTGGACTTGGCTGTGTCACTTTTGCAATTCTAAAAAATTAATTTGATGGTTTTACTAATACTAAATAACATTCTTACTTTCAAAAATATAAACTTTCATTTTGTTTAATTTTCAGCTATTGATTTTAACAGCATTCTGACAAAACATGACAGCTCATATGGGCTGATGATTTTTGCTATAAATGTGGTCCAGCTGATTAGACCACTTAAAAATACACATTTTCTCACCCAATCAGTTCAGCTAAAAATAAAATATTGCATTAATTTCTTCCCTTTGTGTTGTCCTGATTTGCATTTTTGTCATATACTGCTCCCTGAGTTAATTTTCATTCTCTGGCATAGTAAACTTCAACACTCCACTTCTTTGCTAATATATAATAATAGACAGAGCAAGAGAGATTTATTTTTATGTGCTAAAGGTGAGAAAACACATTGACAGCAGCTCTGTGTTTCTGGTAGCAAATAGGCTTCCTCCTGTTTCTTTCTGTATTTAAATATTAAAATTTTTACTTGTATGAAACCTTTGCATACTATTGCTTTGTATTATGGAGCGATTCAAAAAATGCAAAGGTTTGATATTTCACAAGACAGTCTGCCTTTATCAAAGACTGGAACAAGTAATTCTTTCATATCTTCACAAAAAGGTAACCCAGCTTTACAGAACAATTTAAATTGCATCTTTAAAATGTCAAGTGAGATGCACTGTATGATATATTTGGCTGTTATCGTGAACAGTAGCTTTTTTTTTTTAAAATCAGATGTGCTTCATTTGCCTAGGGTTTTTAAGGATGTATTATGATTTACATTCAGTCTTTTACATCCTTTAAATATTCTGCAACACTATGAGTGGTTCAGAATTACAACACATATTTCCTTCAGGATTTGTTCAGATGATGCCAAAGGTAAATTACTAATGAAGCCATTATAAACCATGCAGTCTCAGTTCCTTTTTCCCTCATTACTCTCTCTTGGTAATGGGGCAAGGTAAAACAAACACACATACACACAAACCTCTTCAATCTTTTACAGAAGATTTGGAATAGCAATAATAAGTAATCCAAAATACTAACTCTCTGCTCCACTTACATGATCTGTCTTTACTTCCTAAGTAACATCAGAAAAATTGTTTTAGGAGAAAACATATGCTTGTCATAAAGTGATATATGCAGGTATGGTAACGAGGTAATAAGAACCATTTTTGTCAGAGCTCTCCATTACCTGGAACACAACACTCAGTGGCATAGCACAGCAGACTCTTTCCAAAAAGTACAGCCTATCAAAAAGTCCCTTGCAAATATTTGTGGGCTCAGAACCGAAAGCATAAGAATGATTAAAATTAATTAAATAGAACTAATAGGTGGAGACCTCAATGTTCAGTTTATGTGGTCATCCCTCTTCCCACTTTTGATCATATCAATAGATGGGATCTGTGACTTCATATTTTTCCATGCTACTCTGATATGCTAGAATATATAGATAAAATCATTGTAAATGAACCACAGATTTGAGGGAATAAGCCTATCTTTTGGTCTTTCACCTTTGTTAGTGAGGAAGTTTAACAAGGCTCTTGTACAGAAATCCTCCCCACTGCCTTCATTCTGCCTTTAAGAATATACCCTTTGTGATGTTAATATTTCATAGTCAAGTGACCTGCCAGCATCTTTCCTTATAGAAATGGCACAGCAAACTCCATAATTTTCTGAAAGTAAAAATACATCAGGCTTTTTTTTTCTTCTCTAGATAACCTGTATTTTACATGTCCCCACGTGATTTTTTCCTATTAGTTTTTGTTTCTTTCTTCAGGCTTCCATTTCCCTAGTGAAGTAAGTGAATTATTACAGTAGCTCAATGCCTTAGAGCACACATCCTGAAGGTACTTTTGATAGATCTGAGATCTGGTTTTAATTTTTTTCAACCCACAGTTATGTCATACCACTTACTACCCCATCTGTAAGATCACATTGCCTGGAAGCATGTTTATTTTCTCAGCTGGCA